TTAGTAAAGCATTTTTTCCAGTCCAAACATCAGAAAAACACCAAATCTTCATATGCAATTTGTTTTTTTTCTATAAATGCTATATTTGACATACCAAACTTATGTGCACTTTTCAAAACAGTATTTTTATGACTAAGGTTGTGCTAAGGTGTCAGTGAAGAAAACGAGAAAAGATTTTGAATCTGATCATAAAATTTTAAATAATAATAATAATAATAATATTGTATCCAACACGAACTTCTTTCGAAGTCACCGCTATACATATTTTTGTTGTTAAATGCAAACTCCAATAATAGCATATGAAGCTAATGTAAAATTCTACAGAGAAATAACGTAATCTAGTTCCCTTGTGAGAAACTTACACCACGGACAAGGTTTAATCAGAGTTCAAGTAGGAAATCAAAGAATCCAAACATAAAGGCAACCCAGCACCGAGAACACTCACCACCGCGTTCCTGCTGCCATCAGCATTGTAATCACCTTCCCGCCAGCCTAACAGACGGCAGGTGACAAGGACTAATCTCAGTTATTTAATCAATGGTAGATGAGCTGCTTACTCCATAATCAGTTGATGGACCGTTGAAATGCCAAATTACTTTCTCAAATGCCAGCTGATGTGGTATTTGTGGATTTTTTACGTGGATAACAAGTGGAGCAGCTGTCTACGCAGAACTAAAAAAATACCTTTACATTTGTTACTGAACGCAGCTTAAACAGCGACGCTGTCGTAAAACTTACCTGGGCTTTCTTAACCAGGTATCACACTGCCTGCGGCGTTCAGTCGGAACATCGTATTTTCTGTCTGACCTAAAACCGTAAAGTTTAAGAGAGCGTCTATGTTTTTCTTTCCAAATTAAATAAGTGCCCTCACATGTCCTCAAGAACCAATGGTATTTGACCTTTCATTGCTTCCATTATGACCAATCGAAAAAAAGCGCAACAACATAATGCAGCTTTAGGCTCCGCAATCAATACAACAGTTCCACTGGGTGAAAGAATAGAAGGAAATGTTTTAAAAACAGTTTGCGTCAATTTCCTTTGTTCGAACTAATCTAGGCGTAAATCGATGCTAGCCCTAGATATAATGAAACCAAACAATATATGACTAAAACCGAAAGAATAAAACACCGTTCGAATGTGAACAGCATAAATCTCAGCACGAACTTCTTGACGTGAAATACAAAGAGTGTCCAATATCGGGCATTGATTTTTACCGTGTTGCCTTGCCTAATCAGGTTGCAAAACGTGATTTTAAGGCGAAAATATTGCAGTTTAAGCCTTGAGTTCATTTTCTATTCACCTGTGTTTGGACAAAATAAATGAATACTATAGGCTAAAACTAAAACCGCTAGTTGACACCACGAACTCAGACGGAAAGGTTCAACCCAGTTTTGTTAACGAGTCCTCAGTAAACATACGCGTTCATTGTTAAGTCCTCACTAAGGGCTACAGACAGCAATTTCAAAGTTGAGTTCTATTTCTGAAAAAGTGGGCCTTTTTGAGAAATGGCGTCGAGCCTAGAATCTTGATTAAGAACAAACTTTTTCCGCCCAAAAGCTTGGTTCTTTCGACCCCAGCCCCACACCCAGTCTGTGGACCGTGTGTTCGAAATTTTATCAGTGAACTTAGATATATCTGATAGGAGAAGATGCTCACCATAATTTTAAAGTTCGAGGTCTTTTTTCTTCAATATGAATCTACTTTGGTGACATATTTTTTCTAAGAATGTTTGTTGAATTCTTTTCGTTAAATTGAATACAGCAATAAGTCTAATTGAGAAGTGTGTCCTTGGTTTGACGTGACCCGGTCCAGGGGGGACGTTACGGTATGTGATCGCGTCCTTTCTCGTGTTTCATGACATTTCCATCAGCGTATTAACCCTTTTACCTGAGAAATAAATTATGTGAACCCTTGTGAACTGTCTCCCACTTAATGTCAACCAATCACTCATAATGCAACTAACAAGCCGTCGAAATGGTCCTGTGTATAGGCCACCAATATCCCCTACAGGGTAGACATATTTATAACTGGCTCTTTGTTCAAAGGTATCTTTTTATATCACTTTATTTTCGTGTTCCATCAAATTATCTTGTCAATAAGGGGTAATCCTAGCAGTTAAATGTAGACATACGGCAAAATACCGTTAAGTCTCTTTTTTTTTCATCTGCATGCAAACAAGCACTTCGCGTCCTTTTTTGTCACTAAGTGTGTTGGTGTAATGATGCGTTGTCAGCCCGGGTGCACTTGCTAAGAAATCTCTAATCGTCAAGATCCTATCAACTACCATCTATCTATTACCGAAATATGAGACATGAAATTTGAAGCGACTCGAAACGTTTCAATGTCTATGCCCACTCCATAAGCGTATTCATGGCTGATACAATGTATCCCTTGGCGCGTTGCTGACCCCTAGATTTTCTCTGCCATTTTTCCGGATTGTAATAATAGCGTTAACGTCATGACAATTTAATACGAACACGATGATGAATATGTATATATTAGCAAAGTTCTCTTAATGTGTTCAAGAATAAAATAAATAAATAAATAAATAAATAAATAAATATATAAACGATGAAACAAAATAATGAGAATAATAATAATGATGTTGGCTTCAATTTTCATACATTCCTCCACAGTTTTAAAAGCCCTACTAAAGCGTCGACCAGCCTTCACTGTATCTTCCCCACCCTACCACATCCTTGTTTTCCACACGGTTTAAATCTAACGTAAGACCTAAAAATACGAAATATTTTATTTGGACAACTCCCCTAGGACCTTTCCGCCCCCCCCCCTCACCCTACATGCGTCATAATCTATGCTAAAGGTTTAGTTTCTTAACCGCGAATAGGGAGTATAGACCATTTATATTCAAGTATAAATAACAACTAGAAATAAATTATCCCTACACCATGTTGGAGGATATGCTTTATAGTTTGAAGAACACTGATAATATCCTAAACATGCCAATTATATGGATTTTACAAGGTGTTGTCTGAGGAAGTAAGAGGAAGTGTGTGTTGTTTCATGTAGACCTCCATCATCGCTGTCAAATCGAAAGTGCAAGACATTTCACGAAACTTTTCGGAATCCTGGGTAGAAGTAAGGCATACATTCCGTAATTTTCCGTCTCAGATATAAAATACATTTTTAGATGGAAAACATCTATCAATTTCAACGTTTTTTTAGAAAAGAGATTCCCAAATGATTTCAGCCATGAGTCGACAGCGAAGATAGCCGTTTTGCCGTGCAAATGTACCTAAAGCCTGTACCGCAGTCACGTTTCAAACAGTCGGAATCACAACCCCAAGAGAACAACTTAGCTCTAGTGCCAGGGATAGCTAGACACCATATCCCAAAGGACAATTTACTTTCCTATCAGGAAACGAATTGTTACCTGCATGTTTTAGAGCCGGAAACTAGTTGTACTTGATAAATGTCGAATTGAACAAACCAAGGAGATGCGGAGTTTATATATCTCCTTGAACAAATCAACCGGCGGCTGAACAGATAGTCAATTTATTTATTTTTTACCACGCATCATGTGTAAACTATTGCCTGTGTGGTTTTAAAATATCAGTTTGAAAATATTTTCGCGCGTTAACATGCACGTGTTCTGTCTTTGGCGAGACAAGATCGGTGAGCACTGTGAGTTAAGTGCTGCTTGTTCTGGGAGACGGCTGTCGGTACGAGTTCATGGCACCAGGTGCCTCCGTCATTTCTTACACTCAAGCCCATCCTAACCGATTCAATCCCTTATTTGCCTCATATTTGTTACGCAACTGAAATTGACTTCTCAAACAACTTAATTTAGGTTATTACTATACCCACACAGGTACTTCGGCAATTAGCAACTGGAGATCTTAATATAGTGGATGTATTCTGCAGTAGATTCATAAAATAACCTGTGAATCCCCCCAAAAAAGTGAATATTTGAGTCACGTCAGAGACGCAAACATTATTTGTAATATTTGTTTTAAATCGCTTTTGAATTGCTACTCCTTTCTCTATATTGGAGGGTAGTGTTGTATAAAACAGCGTAAATAATGTCACTAGCCAAAATGATGAATATCTTACTCACAATTTGTGCGTCACTGACGTAGTTCAATGTTCACTTTTTTGTGGAATGACCCGTGTTCGCAACCCCGCTGAGTCGCCTGTTGATCCATCATGGAAATGCACTCCTCCAGAGAGAGGGTTATTAGTGAAAAATAATAGACTTAAACTCAAGGTTCAGCAGGTAATGGCTGCTCACCTAAATTTCGAGACTCTTATAGGAATACACCAACGTCTAATAGACGTGGGGAACACATAATTTGTAGTTGGGCGATTTTGGCGCCTATGCCTCTGATCCCGATTTTCCATAAATAACTAAATAAATCATACATTTTGTGGAGAGTTTGTCCAATGCTTTGGGCCATTACAGAGTAACCTTTTTAAATCCTAACCCCATTAACTGGGCAATAATGTAATAGAAATGAATGCATTATTTAGCGGTTAACAGAGATATCTATAGTCAAATAGAAATTCTTTAAACAACACATTTATATTGTTACACTCCAAGCAGATAAAAAAGGTCATAATAAAGTAAAATTGACAGATGACATCACATTTCAGTCAGAATAAATTGGTTATATGAACAGCGCTGTTTTCACAACTAATGACTAGCGCAGTAAAGGCGTAAAAAACCGATCAACCAAATGACGAAGACTATCTCTGTACAAAGCTTCTATAGCTATTCTACATAATATTCGATAACTGCAAAGACAATAGGAAGACGTGCTCTAATCAAACCATGGCTTACCCGGTCAAAGTAGAAATCCAACTGAAACCCTCTTTCATAATGTTGAAAGCAGTATTAGACAAATACGAAACGATCGGTTGTCACAAATCTCCGTAACTGACAAGTAACGGTCTCGCTTTCAGTCATGCATCTTGCGGTATATGATGTACACCACAGTATATTATGTTAATTGTTTTTGAAGAGTCACATAAGGTCTTACCTCCTCCAGATAACGCCGACTCTTTCGAGCGCTTGTTTATCGTCTGTAGATGAAGATATCCTAGCCACTGCCTCCCCGCGCTGACTTGAGAGACTACTCATGACTGATGAGTTTTACCAAATCTGAACGCCGCTCTTATTGCGAGCGGCGCTGTGAGTTTATATAAGCTCTTCCAATCAAATCGCTGTTTTCTCCCTTTTTTCTAAGTCAGAAATAAAAACGAATACGCTGCTGTTCTAGCACTGCATAACGCCGAGTACACCTGATTCAGCAGCCTTAAGGCCCTGGGTGTAGTCGGCGAAAGCGCGTGCTCCAAGCAAACACACTATATAATACAATATAAATATTATTGCTATGGCTGCTACTGGAGCAGAAACCTACATTAGCAGTTGATCGAACGTATATAAACTTATGTGCCCTATGATGCCACACCTGTCATCAAGGGTCATGGTATTTCACGTCACGCTGTAGGCTAGGCCACGGCAGTATCACGGACACTCACGTACAATATTGATAGGAGAGAATGTACAACACATTGCAGCGAGATTGCCCATTGCGTGGCATTGTTAAGATGTCAAAGTCTGCATGGAGGAGTGGCAAGATATGAAGTAATTGGTCTCAGAAAGGCCATTGTGGCCGGACAGTGGCTCACTGGACAGAGTGACCAGGTGTATCAAAACATCAATATCCTACTCCGCACACCGCAGACAGGTGCTTTGTGCAGCAGCAGTTTAGGCCATCGCATGTGTACTGAACTGCCGTTTTCCTTCTTTTGTGCCAGGTTTATGTATTTTGATACTTTAATTATCATTTATTTGTGAAATAAAGCATAATACAATGGCTTCTGATATGTAGGGGTCTTTTTTGCAAAAGCTATAATAAGCCGAGAACCCGCATAATTCTTGTCGTTTAGATTAAAGTGTTAGAGACGACGCTATATATAATGGTGTGATAATGATGGTTCTGGTGACAACGACTGTAATATACAGATGAACTTGGAACCAACAGGTGACTTAAGTACAGCCGATGAAATAAATCATTTTAACTTTCTTGTTGCCAGAGTTACGCAGTAGTTTTTGCTTCCAATTTTAAAAACACTCAAAATGAGGCTGTTCAGTTTTGTGCATCTATAGTCAAGCTTCAATTCGTTTCACGTTTTTCTTTTCCTATTTACCCGTAAACATTTGATAAAATCTTTTTGTCCTCAGCTACCATGTGTCGCACCCAGACATCAGGTACAAAATAAGCGATAAAAGGATAAGGTAACATGACAAGATCAGGTGCATCAGGCAAGAAATAAATAATGAAAGTTGACGAAGATAAATAATAAATAAGCCAGCATTTCAAGTTGACTCGTTAACAGGCAAACAAGTGAAATACATTCTGGTTAATGTGGAAGCAGCATTGCATATGTAAGGTGTACTGCTGCGGCTTTGTTGGACGCACGATCACGTCCATCATTAAAAACAACACAGGCCTGTAGCCAGCAATTTCAAAAGGGGGGTTCTTTTTCTGAAAAAGTGGACCTTTTCCCATAAAAACTTCATGTACCTAGCTCAGATTTTACACAGAGTGGACCTTTTCCCAGCAAAAGGGGCGGTTCTTTCGAACCCCCGAACCCTCCCTGGCTACGGACCTGCAACAAATTCATAGAAATATCAGGTATCAGATTCCATTATGTAAAAAGAATCGCCATTTACGCAAAAATACAGATCGGTGTCGCGTTCTCTCGCCTCTATGGGGTGAAAATCGTTAAACAGACGCTTTGATAATATTTCAGCCGAACCGAACGCTGTTACATCAAGATGAAAGGAGATAAAAATGTAATACCTTTCCACAAATGAGTTTTCCGCGCTGTTACTTCCTTATCTGACGTTTCCTGTTTTTGCAACTGAACTCAGTGGAGCATTTTGTCCATAGATAATTATGCTTTGGGACCGCACACAATCCTGTGCTATCTGCCATTTTATCATTTTTGCGCTATAAATCATAAAAAAAAATTAAAATCCCTTTTTCTTGATTGATAAGTAGTGAAACACGGCGTACTAGATTTATCAGATAACGTGTGATTGAATATTCATACCATATTCACCCCTACTGCGATTGCCTTTGAATCTGATGAATACAACCTGCAATGTTCTAATAAAAACAACTTTGATGAATCTGTATCCTAGTGGAACTGAAGGAGAGTTATTTTCGAACATCAGCTTGTTATTTCCTTTGATAAAAGAAAAACAGCTATCGACTTTTAAAAGTTCAAAAAGAAATGAAGGAATTCTGTAAAAGGACGTTAACTTACAGGGTGATCACACTTTTATTGCCCGATGTCGCCACCTAAAATCCATACAAACAGTATAACCAGCAATGCAGGAGGTTGCACTGCAACTGAACACATGGCAGCGCATGACGTCAACATGTGACCTGATGTCGACGTCACAACTGGAAATCGGGCTTCTCGTTTTTGCCTTCAAACAATGTTTTGACGTTTTCCGACCCATCATTTATCCATATATTTTTTTTGTGTCTCCGGGATAAGATAAAAATTGGGATTTGTTTTTCTTTTTATGTATGCTATTTAAAAAAATTACATGGCTTTATTGCTCATAATCAAGCAGCAATGAGTCAAGTTAAAATAAAACACTCATGCCCATGACGCAATGTGATGTACAGCGTAGGCCTGTAACAATTTTGTCCATAATTGTATTACTTGTTTATTATATTACCTGTTATCTATTTTTGATCATCACTAAAAGTTCTAAATCAATGTTGCTCCATCTCAGCGAACACGCTTTCAACCAATCAATTAATTTTGTCTGATGAAATCATGTCCTGCGTCATTAAAGCCCCATTCTTACCCCAGCTTTTAGGCACATGGGAATGTTTTGTAAAACTCACCATTGTCCTTTCAATTCTTATTTTATTCCCCTTGGATTATCTTGTTTCTTTTAAATCGCTTTGAATAAGTAGGCAGTTTTTTTTCTACGGGTGTGCCATTTTTTCATGCTTCTAATTACCCTCTTTTTCTTATTTTGTATAGGTTTTCATTGGCAAAGCTCCGATGGGCTCGCTATTTTAACCAAATAAATTTAAACTTAATACTTTAGATTGTAAGTATGTTCCATCTTATTATTCTTCCCTAACCCTAGAGTATCCCTTTGCTTCAGGCCCCCTCCCCCCCCCCCCCCCCACAAACTCAAAGTACAACATAGAAATCGAGACAAAAAATAAAGCAATATCCATTATATTATTACATACAATAGTGAAATCGCCCTGGTGTATTACAGCTTAACCGATCAAGAGGCAGGGAATCTTTTCTTCCTTGTGCTCCCCCACCCCTTATCAGCAAAACCCGGTGGGTGTGTTAGTCAAAACACCAAATACAGTGCTGCAGCTGGTAAGATATTATCAATTTGGGTAGAATATCATTCAAATCATAGGGGAATTGTAAGTAATGCAGCAAGAGCTCTTGTCGGTGATCTGTTTGCAAGGATAGTAAATTGAAAAAACGTGTATGAACAGATAGACTAAGAGAAGAAAACTGAACTTTAAGATGCGAAAATTGGCAGCATGCACAGAAAAAATGCATTATTGTTCACAATCTCTGTATCATTTCGATGAAAATACTCGGACACAAGCAGTTGGATTAAAAAAACATTACTTTTGTACTATAGTTCTAAATAAAATGGATTATTATTATTATATTTTTGTGTTTTCACAAATGAAACATATCCATTGACTTTCAATAAGTGTTCCAAAGAGCTGAATGCTAATAGTCTGCCTGAAGAAAAGACCCGATGTTTTTGGATTGGGTCATGGTACGCCTACTAATACTATATTATAGAGAGGTTACTGAGGTTACACATAAAGGTAAAAACAATCACTCGGCAGTAAAAAGGGCCTTTTATAATTGAATTGCCAATTTGTTTTGAGTATTAAATGGCATTTTATAGTGCAACGCATGGCCTAGCTCAAATAAAGAGCAAGGCCGGGGAAATTAATTCCGTTGATGTTGCAGAGATATTAATGGAAAGGGCACATAAAACTCTTTTCAGTACATTTATCTAGGAAAACAGTTTTTACCCTTCACTGTGCAGGCCCAGATGTAAAAATTGGCATCATTTAAATCACTTCCTCACTCTAAGCAAAGCCATCTGTCTTGCGCTACATCACCTTGCAGAGAGGTGAGAACTGACAGGTAAATACGCCCGGTTTAAAGTCTATCCTTTGACCTAAAATCTGGATCGACCCAGTCTCAAGGTAATTTCTTTAACTAAATTAACAATCGTGGTAAGGATTTTGAAAGTTGTCCCCCATAAGACAATGCGGTCAGTTTGTTCTAGGGGTGTCATAATACAAACTGGGTTAGTTCGCCCAGCTCGATTCAAACAAGGTTTGTTTCATGTTTGCTCCAGTCCGTGTGGTAGAAACAGGGCTCGCTCCTCCGGCTCCACGCGCAGCGCGACCTCGCATTCCTTTCTGAGAGATGCAATTACCTGGAAACACGTGAAGAATAGATCAACTGTGCTGTGATCTTCTTGACAGATTCCTCCTTTCAATTCCCCCAGCAAGAGACTTAAATTGTCTGTTCCTATTTGAAGTTGCATATCTTTACCGTTTCCTAGAATGATGTACGACAGGCTGGAGGCTAGCCGTTTCTGACAGTGCCGAAATCTCTTCCGCACTTTTCCAGGAGTGTAATTTCAAAGCCCTGGCGGTTCGAAGCCCCAAGAACAGTAATCATACGTGCTAAAGTTCTGTTACGCACAGCAAGTGAAAGGAGCTTTTGGTAATCAAATACGTTAAAGATAACCCCGGGTAACAGCTATCTAAAAACAAAACTTTTCTGTAATTTTAAGATGCTATTGACTGCGTAATATTCTCACCACGCTATCTTAGCATTCCCACACTTTCACATTTTAAGAGTTATTCAAACCATCCAGCCTGTGTTTTTCATCCTAATAAGAGAGTGATGGATGCCCTTTTACTTACATGTACGACTGAAATATCAGAACAAAGTGCCAATTCTACTCAGTATCTCTTGAGGCAATGTTTAGGTGAACACTCTTTCGTAGAAAAAAAAGGTAAGCACCGAAACAAGACTGTTATTTCTCTTGGAGCGTAAAGAGAAAAAATATCAGTGGTTAGTCTGCAAAATTCAGTATTTCATGAAATAAATTGAAATGGAATTGTTTTGAAATTCTTCATTTCAAAAATATTTGATATAAGTGATTTTTACTTCTGTCGATCAGAATCATTCTTTGTGTTTCTATAATTACCACATTAAGGACATTTACGAAAAGTTATACAATAATGTCCACAAACGTATGTGACAGGAATGGTAGTCCGTAAGGAATCGTCGTCCTTTTCCCATTACTTCGTAAAAGAGAGATTCGTTCCATGTACTAATCCCAATACTCCGACCAATCCTAACCTGTACTAATCATATGGGAACCCAGACTTCCATTTCTAGGACTACCATTCCTGTCATATCGAAACCACGTAGTCAACGAACCGTCCTCAGTAATTTGTTACTAGTATTTTAAAACAGTTTTTGAAACTGATGTCTACCTATCAATGGATCACTCTCAGAAAAATCTTTCGGAATCGTAACTGCACGACAGCGACTTCACTAACATATATAATATATGTTGATAAAAAAACTATATAATCATC